GGTTCATAAGTTGTCTTAGCTCCCATATAAGGTTAACTTCTGAAAATCACTTTATAATACTTAATTCGTTATTAAATTATTATATCCGGATAAAATTCGACATGAGTATGTTCTGTGTATAGATAAATCATTCTATTAAAATGTTTTCGAAATGGCGTATTAATATAAATTTTTCTGGACCTAATTAAAATTAGTTCGACAAAAATTTTGGCAAGTTATCTAAAAATTAGATAGTTAGATGGGTTTCAATAAAAAGTAGCTTGCTGGTGGAGGGTATTTAAGATTCGGCATAGCCGAATATAGCACTCTAACTTGTTTATATACTAAAATTGCAAAAAAAGCTAAAATGCTAAAAATATTTTATAAAAATGCTAAATAAAATGCCAAATGCTAAATTAAAATTTTACAGCTAAATCAAAATAAAAAATGCTAAATCTAGCTGCAAAAATGACAAAATGGTCACACTGTTCTACAATATAATTTTCCGACCTCATAAAGTAGGGTTCTATAGTTGAAACGAATAGTCGACTTTTCGACTTTTAGACTTTTTGCATTTAGTTAAAAGTCGACTTTTCGACCTTTCGACTTTTTCCATTTTATGAAAAGTAGATTTTTCGACTTTTCGACCTTTTTCATTTATTTAAAAGTCGACTTTTAGACTTTTCGACTTTTAGTATTTTATAAATGGTCGACTTTTCGACCTTTCGACTTTTTCCGACTTTTCGACTTTTTCCGACTTTTTTCGACTTTTCGACTTTTTCCGACTTTTTTCGACTTTTCGACTTTTTCCGACTTTTTTCGACTTTTCGACTTTTTTCGACCTTTTCGACTTTTTCCGACTTTTTTCGACTTTTCGACTTTACGATTTTTTACGACTTTTTGACTATTTTCGACTTATTTCGACTTTTTTCGACTATTTTTTTACTTTTTTCGAGTTTTTCCGACTATTTTAGAGTTTTTGACCTCTTTTCCACTTTTTTAAAATTTTCGACTATTTTCGACTTTTCGACTTTTTTCGACTTTTTCCGACTTTTCGACTTTTTCCGACTTTTCGAGTTTTTTCGACTTTTCGACTTTTTTCGACTTTTTTCAACTTATCGACTTTTTTCGACTTTTCGACTTTTCGACTTTTTTCGACTTTCCGACTTTTCGACTTTTTTCGACTTTTATTTACAAAGTCGACTTTTCGACTTTTTTCATAGACGATAGTCGAGTTATCGACTTTTTTGGAACAAAATAGTCGACTTCGACTTTTCGACTTTTTTCGACAAAAAGTCGATTGTTCGATTATTCGAAAGTCGATTTATAGAACCCTATCATAAAGTATACATACATACATACTACATATTCTGGACTTTATCAGCATACTGATGAAATAGTATCTTATAAAAGTACACTTTCTGGTACTTATTCTTATTATGAAAATGTATGTATAAAAGTAAACCTTATGGTGCTTTTTTGTTCTTCAACTGGTACTTTCTGAATATTTGTAAATATTATACCTATAGACCTAGAATTGAGCACGCAGTATCCTGATTGAATGAAATCTATTAGGACTTTCTGGTACTTTTGCGTTTTCCAACTTGTATTTTGTTTCTAATGAAAAGGCATTGGCTGTCTTTTTAAAACAGTATAGATCACTTTAAATATAAACAAATTAAGATTTTTAACAGTTTAAATTTATTTTGATTAATCGTAGCAAGTTAAGTTTATTTGAGTCTTTTAAATATTCATATACATATGGTACAACAGATCTGATATAAAGAAAACTTAAAATTATAATGTTTTATTTTAATACAAATCATTGCAATTATAAATAGTATAAATAATATTATTTATTTAAACAAGCCTGTTTTCTTATACTTTGATTTCTTCTGCCGGAAATAATGTTAAGTCCAATATCATTTCGTCGTTAAGAATTTCTTGCAAATCGCTATAGACTGCAACATCACGCTTTAAAACTTTTTCGAATAGTTTAAAATTAATATTTTCCAACTCCATTGAATACTCCATGCCTATTAAAGGATTATAAAGTATTATTTTCTTAGCTTTTATACCACTTTTAAGGTACAGACTAAAACCGTAGATAATCATTTGGTAAAACTTGTATAAAGCTGGTGTTTTATATTTGGAGGTCTTTACTTCATATATAATATCGTTATCAAATATAATATCGGCTTTTGCATTAAAATATTTACAATCCAGGTAGGGATTCAAGTCGATCATTTTATATGGTAGATTTTTTAAATATTCTATTAATTCATGCAAAATATCTTCATTTACAGTGAATTCTTCCTTGGGTAAGGGTTCATTAAAAAATATTACATGTGAAAGCGACACAATTTTAATGCTTTTTATAATATCAAGGGCCTTAGTATTTGGATCCTTAAAAATTGCATAATGTTTCTCAATAGCATCACGTAAACCGGTATTTTTAGCAATAACATAATCCTCAGGATTCTCTAGTATTTTTTCTGTAAAAGTATCAGTAATTTCAATATTATATTGTTGGGATAAATATTTCCATATGAAATAATCCATAAAATGTCCAAATATTGAATAATATTGATTTTTCACTATATCTTTAGGATGTTGAAATGATCTTCCCACTTTTTTAGTCACAATATCAGTATCTTTAACAAAGAGATCGAAAAAATGCTTGACATTTGGAAATTCTTTTAAAGATTTATTTGATATTGTTGTTGCATATGGTATGTACTTCCATTCAATGTCTTCCATCTCTATAATTACGGACATTTTTTTATAATAGAACTAGTAAAATTAGTGGCTAAAATAGAATAATTTTATTAAATTATTTATTTGAGAAGAAAGTGCCGGAATTTTTGTTTATCAAATTATGTATTGTATGAAGAATTGTTTTTGCTTTGCTGCAAACAAGTTGTTTTTTTGTGAATAATTCGAACCGAATTTATACTTTGTGCCGAATTGACGATAGAACTTATTGTCACAAAGTATACAGAGGTGTTAATTTTGACATTTACAAAAGTCTAAAATCAACTTATCTGCGGTTTTTTGTAAACATTTGTGGGAAGAGGTATAAAAAATACAGCAAAAAATCTGTGTTAAGTGGTGTGAGAAAGAGATACAAATAGTTTTTTTGTGACGCATCTGTATACCCGCTGTTATTGTACAACAGACATGTACAAAAGCAACAGGCAATTTGTTATTTTCATAAGCTAACTTGCTGTTAAAATTGGCCCGTTGTTTTTGTTACTTTTGTGTTTGAAAAATGTATTAATCAGCTGGACTTATGAGGCCACTGTATTAATATACTTAATGCACAGTTAGTTTCGACGTTCCGTTCCGTAACGGATCAGTTAATAGATTAGTTAGTTAGTGAGTTAGTTAGTTAGTTAGTTAGTTAGTTTGTTAGTTAGTTAGTTAGTTAGTTAGTTAGTAGTTAGTTAGTTAGTTAGTTAGGTTAGTTAGTTAGTTAGTTAGTTAGTTAGTTAGTTAGTTAGTTAGTTAGTAGTTAGTTAGTTAGTTAGTTAGTTAGGTAGTTAGTTAGTTAGTTAGTTAGTTAGTTAGTTAGTTAGTTAGTTAGTTAGTAGTTAGTAGTTAGTTAGTTAGTTAGTAGTTAGTTAGTTAGTTAGGTAGTTAGTTAGTTAGTTCGTTAGTAGTTAGTTAGTTAGTTAGTTAGTTAATTGTTAGGTTAGTGAGTTAGTAGTAGTACTTAGTCATTAGTTAGTTAGTTAGTAGTTAGTTAGTTAGTTAGTCTAGTTAGTTAGTTAGTTAGTTAGGTTAGTTAGTTAGTTAGTTAGTAGTTAGTTAGTTAGTTAGTTAGTTAGTAGTTAGTTAGTTAGTTAGTAGTTAGTTAGTTAGTTAGTAGTTAGTTAGTTAGTTTCGTTAGTTAGTTAGTTAGTTAGTTAGTTAGTTAGTTAGTTAGTTAGTTAGTTAGTTAGTTAGTTAGTTAGTTAGTTAGTTAGTTAGTTAGTTAGTTAGTTAGTTAGTTAGTTAGTTAGTAGTAGTAGTTAGTTAGTTAGTTAGTTAGTTAGTTAGTTAGTTAGTTAGTTAGTTAGTTAGTTAGTTAGTTAGTTAGTTAGTTAGTTAGTTAGTAGTTAGTTAGTTAGTTAGTTAGTAGTTAGTTAGTTAGTTAGTTAGTTAGTTAGTTAGTTAGTTAGTTAGTTAGTTAGTTAGTTAGTTAGTTAGTTAGTTAGTTAGTTAGTTAGTTAGTTAGTTAGTTAGTTAGTAGTTAGTTAGTTAGTTAGTTAGTTAGTTAGTTAGTTAGTTAGTTAGTTAGTTAGTTAGTTAGTTAGTTAGTTAGTTAGTTAGTTAGTTAGTTAGTTAGTTAGTTAGTTAGTTAGTTAGTTAGTTAGTTAGTTAGTTAGTAGTTAGTTAGTAGTTAGTTAGTTAGTTAGTTAGTTAGTTAGTTAGTTAGTTAGTTAGTTAGTTAGTTAGTTAGTTAGTTAGTAGTTAGTTAGTTAGTTAGTTAGTTAGTTAGTTAGTAGTTAGTTAGTTAGTTAGTTAGTTAGTTAGTTAGTTAGTTAGTTAGTTAGTTAGTTAGTAGTAGTTAGTTAGTTAGTAGTTAGTTAGTTAGTTAGTTAGTTAGTTAGTTAGTAGTAGTAGTTAGTTAGTACTACTTAGTTAGTTAGTGTTAAAGGATGTTTTTTAATAAAAAAAGTTGATACGGCAGTATTTTTCTTATACGATCGGAATGAAATACTGTGTTGTGTCTGTTTATATTATTATCGATCTAATATTTTACGTTTTTACACAAACAGACAATAGTAACTTTGGGTTGGCGTAAGTGGCAGATTTGCCACGGAACGGAACGTAGAAACTAACTGTGTCTTTTGACACCAACCACAAGATAATTTGACAGTTTAATCACAAGGAAATGAAGAAAAAATTATAATCAGCTGTGTGTATGAGGCCACATACATACGTATTTATAAAAGAAACTTCGGTTATTCCCCTAATTTCGTTATTATTAATAATACTAGTAGATAAAAATATTCAAATAAAACAAAATTTTGAAGTTTTTTAAACTGTAAATGCAGCATTTATTTCATCAAAAAATTGTAAGAAAAAATATAATAAATTTTTTTTTAATTTTTTTAATTAAGCAAACATTTCTTCACTTTTCACCCTCACCAGGAAATAGTGTTAGATCCAAAACCATTTCATCTGCTAAAATTTCTTCGAGTATACTGTACATGGCAACATCATGTTTTAGAACTTTTTCAAATAGCTTAAAATTAATATTTTGCAATTCTATTGAATATTCGTCACCCAATAAAGGATTATAGATTTTGAATTTTTTAATTTGAATACCAGTTTTCTTGTAGAAACCAAAACCGTAGACTATTGTTTGATAAAATTTGCTCAAAGGTATTTTAGCTTTGTCCTTTTGGAGAGACTTAAATTTAGAGGTCTTTATTTCGTATATCACATCATTATCGAATATTAAATCTGCATCGGCATTAAAATAATCACATCCCACCTCAGGATTCAAGTCGACCGTTTTATACGGAAGACTTTCCAAATATCCTATAATTTCACGCAAGTTATCCGTATTCACATCGTACTTACGTCTTGGTATACCATATCCAAAGAATATTAGATGTGATTGTGATACAATTTTAATACTATTAATAATGTTCATGGCCTTGGTATTAGGATCTTTAAAAATCTCATAATGTTCTCTAATAGAATTTCGCAATCTTATATTTTTACCAATAATGTAATCGTCAGGATTCTCCAGAATATGCTCTGTGCGTGAATCGGTTATTGCAATGTTATACTGATTGGACAAGTGTTTTCGTATAAAATAATCCATAAAAAGACCATGGGCTGAAAAATAACGATTCTTCTCGACAATTGCATTATATTGAAATGATCTTCCAACTTGCTTAGAAACTATAACTGTATCTTTGACTAAGTTTTGAAGAAAATGTTTCACATTAGGAAAACCTCCCAACTGTTTATTTGTTATTGTTGTTGCATTTGGAATATATTTCAGTTCAACGTCATCTTTTTTAACTTCCGACATGTTTTATGTACAATTATAAATAAGTACTGAATATACTAGAAAATAAAAATTTTACGATTATTAAAAAAAAAGAAATAATGGACTATTACCAAACTTTATAACAAAGACTGTTGTTTTCTATAAAGATTAAGTTGAACTAATGTTTTTTCAATAACAATTTTTAGTCTGTATAGGTATAGCAAACAAAGCAGAATGAGTAATAATAAAGAAATCGTGTACGCCAAATCTTGTTTACAGTAAGTTTCAAATGTACTTTGACAGTTAGAGTATACCAAAGTGTACTATTAAG